ACATAAATTTTGTTTAATTCAACTTAGGGGAATTTAGTTTTTAGCTACTATTGGATAATTCTTTATGGTAGAATTAAGAAAACCTTGTCATATGAGAAAGATATCTGCTAATTTATAATGCCAGGATGTAATTATAAGAAATTTCGTAAACAATTTTTTCTGTAAGATATAATGTATGTATACACAAGGCTGTGGTCTAAGAAAAATTGCAAGGAGTCCAAAGGTTTCCAATCATGAGATCCTGGGTGCCCAGGACTTAAGCTTACATGTATATGAAAAAAAGTAATTTCTAGATGCCCAACAGCAAAAGTTAGTTGCCTGTGGCACCTGGGTGCTTCTAGAGCATAGTCCTGATACATGTAGTAGAAGTAAGTCTGCATATGAGTCAAGTGGCCCATCAGGCTGGCGCTTATCTCTGGTTTCAGTAGCATGAAGTGACCAGGAGTATTTCTACTCCCTGGATGGGATGCTATTTAACTTGGCCCAGCATTAAACTCACTGGTACCCATTTAAATTGTACAATGTATATGATTGGGCGGATAGAGCCACTGAGAGTACATGTAAAGTGTCTTGCCCTGCAAGAGCTCAACACAATGTCCCTGGCTGGTTCCCATTTTAATATACACCTGGGTGATGAGAGGTACTGTGAGAGTAAAGTGTCTTGTCCAAGAACACAACACAAACATTCCCAGCCAGTGCTTGAACTCGCACTGCTTTTTCCAGAGGTGAGTGCATCAACCATGATACCACTGTATGGACTGAAAGAATCATTATGGTTATGGCATTTACATTCACATCATGGATGCTTTATACAGTCATGTACTATGTATTGAGATTATTGTTTTTTCAAACTTCCTATTTTTCCAATATCTTTAATTTTTTTATTACCTTTCACACTGTTCTCTTTTTGTGCATGTACAGTACATTGTATTTTTCCATTATCATGTAATTAATTTTATCTTTTACAATGTAACACTGTGTTCTAGCTCTCTAGATGTACAGGTACATGTAACTGTCTGCCATTTGCATGTCCTAAAATCATTACAACCCTATTGGGTTCTTGTTTGGTTGCTGACTGTATGTTTTTTGTTTACAGATAGTATAAAAAGGACAGTAAAGATAGAGACTTCAACAGTGGAAATAGAGGAGAGAGGAGTTAAGCTACGCCTGACTATTGTAGACACTCCTGGATATGGAGATGGCATGGACAACAAAGACAGGTTTGTTTTATGCAGTTTTTGCAAGGTTTTGACAACTGCTCATACAACAGTCTGGCTTCACGGGTCCCCAGGCTTTTTGTCTTTGATATTTTTTTTTGACACACAGTACAGTTGAATCTCTCTACAATGGCCTCCTTGGGGACAGAGGGAAGTGGCCGTTGTAGAGAGGTGGCCATTATG